ATAAACACCTACAGAAAAGCCAATACTTGGCTGTGAAGCTGAACCGTATATCATCGCCTTTTCTGAGCGCTGAGGCTATCGCTGCAAAGCATGTTGGTCCATTCTAAGCCTTGAATAGAAAAAAGGAAGAGATCATTAAATTATAATTTCCCCACACAATTGGCATAAGCATTTCCTACCAACAGGATTAGTATGAAAGCGAGATCCCAGAATAAAGCTGCTCAGCAGTGAGGATGGCAGTTTAGTGTCTAGTAAATTTGATTTCTCTGAAAATCCTGACACATCATAATAGCGAAATCCTATTTACTGTAGCAAGCAGGATGGATAATACTATTTAACACCTGGTATAGGATGTGCCATCAGCTCACAGCTTTGTGCTCCGTGTGCTCATCTTACCTTAAGGTTAATGCTCCTTGACAGCCTACATGGTAAGTAGAATCCCCAAATTAAGTGCCGAACCTACGATTTGCAAATCCTTCCTCAAAATTCAAGTCATGAAAAAAAAAAAACAAACCCCGATGCAGATAAGAGGATCACGTTTCCAGAACATATGTCTATATCCTGATCTGGCAGTAAACCCTGTGTGGTGCCAGAGGATCCCTGCCCAAAGGCCACCAAAGTCAGCAAGGACATGCACAGAAATTAGAGAAGCGGCAAGGAAGAACTATCGGGGCAGTAACTTGTCGACTGCTAAATCTGTAGCAAACCTAACATAATGCTGAAACCTCAAAATGCTAACAGAATAATTTTATTACCTTACGCAGCACGCACATTCACATGTGCACTAGTCAATACTTATAGAAGTATTTCTAGGAAACTCAGAAGTATAGAAACTTAGCTTGAGTGAGAAATACCCTGATTAATATGGGGATGCATATCTTGCTCATTCACACCGATAAACTAAGTAGTTGTGTCATAAAGCAGTGTATTAAAATTAATTTACTTCTGCTCCTATGACTGGGGGCATGATTCTCGTAATGATGCATAATAGTATTATGAAGCAGTGTAACATGAAAATAGTTGGATTTGCTGAAGAAAATTTGAACTAGAGAGTGTTGCATAGTTCTTGAAGAATGCAGAGAAGCATGCAGAGATACGCCTCATCGTGAATGCCTGCGTGATGCCAGAACTACAGGCAGCAGAGGGTGTAAAAATATTCCAAGGCAAAAGTAAACAGGTGAAGGAATCATGGAACCATTTAGGTTGGAAAAGTCCTTTAAGCTCCCCCAGCCCAACCGTTCCCCTACCCCTGCCATCCCACCCC